GTCAACCGCGTTTCTCTGGGCCCCCGGCCCGCCCCCTCCCCCAGCTGCTCTAACAAGCAAGCCTCCCTCCCGCAAACCTGTTCCCTGAAAATCCCGTGAGCCCTGCCTGGCGGGGCAGCGAGGCGCAGAAGCGATGGAGTAGTCAGGCAGGGGAGAGCAGCGTGAATGAAGGTCCTCGTCCAGAGAGCCGGAGGGGAGCAGTGGCTTGGGCAAGCTTTCGAGTAGCTGGGAGACAGGCAGGGAGACTCCCGCAAACCTGTTCCCTGAAAATCCCGTGAGCCCTGCCTGGCGGGGCAGCGAGTCGCAGAAGCGATGGAGTAGTCAGGCAGGGGAGAGCAGCGTGAACGAAGGTCCTCGTCCAGAGAGCCGGAGGGGAGCAGTGGCTTGGGCAAGCTTTCGAGTAGCTGGGAGACAGGCAGAGAGAGAGGTGCGATTCGGGAATAAGCCAGCGCTTCCCCTGCCCCCTTCCACACTCAGTGCCGCAGACCTGCGCCCGCTGCGGCAGCTATGGCTGGCCGCCAGCCGAGCACCAAGACTTTCCAAGCAGACCGTGCACACACAGAGTCGGCACACATGCTACATGCGAGTATTCCCCAAACAAGCTTTACTTGAAGTAAAAAAAAAAAAATAATGAAAACCCCCAACCCTGGCCTTGCAGGTATCCAGGCAGTTTCTCAGCCAGTCAGGGTAAGGGTAAGGGTAACGCCATGGAACAAGTCAGTGACACCGGGGAAGGAGCAACCGGGGGTCCCAGCACAGAAACACAGAGGGGGTGATGCCGAGCGGGGTATGGTTCGGTACCACCAGGCCACAGTATCAAACATTAATGCCCTCATCCAGGGAAGCCACGGGTAAAGCACCAGCACCGGGAGGGAGCCCAGGCTGGCCGTTTCATCCACAAACAGATCATTTTTCTTTCACTCGGTGAAGCAAAGCTAAACAGTCAGGCGACGGCACTCACCGCTCAGCCAGGCCCCCCCCTCACCTGCTCCCCTGGAGACCCCCAGGGAGAACAGGAGCTAGCCCTAACCCTTGGCCTCCCCTTCCACCATCCCCATGCAGACCTGCCGGAAGAGCAGGGGCTGCAGGGCAGAGGGCCCCGCCGGAGGAAGAGGGGGGCCTCGCGCTGCAGCCCCCAGGGCCCGACGGCAGGAGAGAGATACTCGCGGTACAACCTGTGGGACCAACATTACACAACAGGAAGGGTTGAAATGGTCCGAAACACCCCGCTGGGGTTGCGTTAACTGCTACAGATACTATTGCTAGCCCACGAGCCGAGTTCTTGCTTGGTCAGTGGTCCAAGGCAGAGTTACTCTCACAGAGCCCCGTGCCTGCCTGTACGTGGGCCCGCCCGTGCCACCCCGCCGGGGAGCGAGCAGGCCCCAGGCTCGAGCACAACTCCAGGTGTGCGACATTCCCTCCTGGCCGCAGCTCTGCCAGGGGTTGCATTTGGTCATTTTATTTCTGTGTTTGGGTTGGTTATTCACAGTGCCCAAACAGCAGAAAAAGGCAGCATCAAAAGCAAAGCCCAATCAGCAAAACCCAGGGCAGAGCTAGTGACACTGAATGCACGGACCAGCACCTGTGCTGCTCCCCGTCAGCCCCACAGACGCTGCCAACTGTTAGTCGAGTGCCCTTTCCAAATAACCCGGGAGAATTGCAAAGGGAAGGCTCTCCCGGGGGCTCCTGAGGCAGGAGGCTCCTCACACCACAGCTCCAGCCCCCTGAAGAGCCCCGTGCTCTTCTGCTTTCTCTCCCCTACGTCCAGGTCCTCCCTCCAGCACGCACATGCGACGAGCAAAGAACCGGGACACCCAACACCCAGCAGGCGTCTACGGAGCCTCCTCCAGAAGGCAGAGCTAGCGCGGTCAGAACCATCTGGGCGGCATGAGGAGCTCTTCCATCCTGCCTCCCCTCAGCTCTTCTATCCAAGTACATTTAAAAACAATGGAGCAATACAATTGTTTAAAACCAAAGTTGTCTGCTTTTTCCTGTGGTAGTAGGTGGTCTTGTCTGCTTCTGCCACCAGGACAAAAATAAGAGGCCGCAGCCCAGGGCTACTGGTTTTCCTCACGCATCTGTTCCATGATGTTGATGAGGCTTTCCAGCCCAAACACATAACCCATGTCGGGTCCGTCATGCACAGTGGGGTCATCGCGAAAGCCTTTGAACGTGCTGTGTGCAAAGTCAATCATACGCACATCCACCTTGGGCTGGGCCGAGGAGCCGGGCTCCGTGCTGCCGCCATCCTGAAGGCTCTCCGGGAGAGAGCTGTCCACCCGCTTCAGGCGCATCTCCGGCCGGCGCTCCACAAACATACCTGCCCTGCTGTCCTTCCCATCGTAAATGATGAGAAGGGAGCTGGAGTAGAAGCGGTAGGAGGCCTGTCTCTCCAAAACTGCCTTCAGGCTTCGCAGTTTGGCGAGGACAGGCTCAAAGAGGTCCTTGCGCAGCTCAATGCCGTTGTGGAGATACTGGTAGAGGGCATTGCGGAAGCCCTCGATGGAAAGACCGCGTCCATAGTATTTATTCCTGCATAAGTAATGCCCTGTGTCCAGCTGATAGACCTAGAACGCCAAAGGAAACGCACATCAAGCAGGAGCAACACGTTAACGCCACTCACAGAGAGCCCTGAGCTGTCTTCCACTGAGAGGGCAGAGGGAACTCGTCCTGTCCCCACCACGCCCAAGAGGGAGCAGGAAGCAGCTCTGCCTGTTCCCTCAATCCCAAAGCAGCTCACGGGTGCATCCCATGGGCACAGTCAAGGTGCCCAAGCACTGGTTCTCTCCCAGGACACCCAAAGGGTGGCTCTTCAGTCCGAGCGTTCCCAAGAAGCATGAGACAACAGACCCCGAGGCTTAAAAAGCCAAGTCTTACAGCAGCTCAAGACAATCCTCTGGCAGTGGGAGCTGCCGGCACATATTGCCGTTATTATGTGGCATGTGATTAATGAGAGGCCCTCATTGCTTCAGAGTCTGTGGGCAGAGATCTGGATTACAAGAACCTTTTGCGGGTGGGGAAAGGAGTGCCTATTGCACAACAGCACCAGCAGCAAATCCTTGGGCGCAGGGCCTAGCCACAAGAGGAGAGCAACTGCTGAACTCCCAGGACAGTACGGAAGCAAATGTCAGCTGATGCTGGGACAGAAGGACACCTCCCTCCCCAGGCACCGTGATTCTAGCTCAACACTAAGCCACAAAAATAATTTTATTAGAAAATCTCCTCATTGTCTGTGAACAAAACCGCTTTGGATAAAGCGGGCTGTTTCGGGAGAAGCAGGTTCCTTTGTTCTAGGCTTAGAAACAAAGACAAAAAGCACGTAACCCTGAACACCGGTGTACCTACCTGAAGTGGAAGACCCTGTAACTCAATGCGCAGCAGAAAACGGGAACTTGGAGGTCTAATGGGGCTGCGAAAGGGAACGTGCGGCACCTGCAGCCCTTGGAGATCCCTACCTGCATCCCACACACACGCACGCCCAAGGTGGCGGAAGTGCTCTGTTCACACTTCTTCATCTGCCGAGCAGCCTTCTCCTCAGATGCATCATCTCCGTGCTGTCTGGTCCCCATTTTCAGATCAAGTACGCAGGGAAGTTTGAAGTGATGCACCACGTTCTCCAGCAAAAGGAACTCTGGGAGACATGTCAAGGAGAGCTCACCTGTCAGAGACACCGCTCCCCAGGGCCACCACAGACAGGGACTTGGGCCAGCATGAGATAGGGTCGGGTGACAAACAAATAGGAACCCAAAGAACAGACAGAACGAACTGTTTGGGGAAGTGAAAAAAAGTACAAAACCTAACGGTGGCACGCAGGCTTTCACACTTGGTAGAAGTCAGCCTGGAAAGTGGAATGGCCGACAGTAAGCAAGAAGATCACATGCAGGTGTACTGGAAACTCAGCAGGGGGAACCGAAGAGCAGAATGCTAGTGTCAGGAAAGACACCATCTGCCAGCAAGAACTGCTGATATATTAAGGGAGAGCTTAAAGTCTAATCAAATTAGCAATTTAACCATATGGATAAACAACACAATCCCCACGGACTGAAAACTCAAGGCTCAAGTAATAGCACAGTGCTGCTGCTATTGGCCTGCCCAGAACAGCAACGCTGCCCGACACACAGGGGGAAACCCACGGGGGGAAACCGGAGAGACTACAAAGGCAGGAAGCAGAACAGTAACGGGAGCCTTCAATTACCAGCACACACAATGGGCAAACCCTCCATTAGGGCACAGCGCTGAGAACAAACCCGAGACAATCGGTGCAGCAGCTTGTCCCAAAGGGGAAAAAACAACCCTGAAGTTTGCCCCAAGTAGCCCTGCAGGGCACGGTTCAACATGTTATGCTGAAATGGCAACCAGAGCACAGCTAGATTAAACCTGCAAGGAAGTTTAACATTTAGAAAAATCTATCATCAACTACGTTTGATTTTGAAAGAGGAACTTCATAAAAATAAGGAAGTGTGATTAAAAAGAATAGGACAGCCAAAAAGAATTACTTCTCTGCAAGCGATGCAGGTTATTTAAAAATAAAAGCTGGAGGCTCAAAGCACACGTTTGAGAATAGGAAAAGGAAGCCCACACAGTTAAAATGACGAAGAATACAGCTATTAAAAGTAAGGTTGTTTCTATGTGAGGAAAACAGAGTCACGCTCCAGCAGGTGAAACACACAAAACCCACAAGCTGGCAAGTTCAAGACAAAAGCACGAGGAGTCATTTCCGAAGGCACAGAAAATAACAAATCCATCTTCAACCACATGCAGAAGCCAGTCAGACTGCCTGCAGGGTTTAAAGACAAAGTACAAATGGAGCTACAGGGGAGGGGGGTGGGATGGGGGTGTGTGAAGAGACCCCCTAAAAAGAGAAATAAGATTACTATTATGCTGCTTTGTTTACTGGGGAAGAGCTTAGGGGATTCCCAAGCCAGAACTCTCTTTCTGAGTTCAGAGAATTCTCAAACTGAAATGCCAAGAGAAGAGATTGCCTGTTGAACAGAAAATACGAGATGGGCAACTTATTTAACACTGCCTTAGCACCAGGAGACTGAAGGGCAGCTACCACAACGCTGATTTGCGGAGATCTGGGGAACTACAAACTAGCCTGACTGGTCTTGCAGCCAAAGTCACCAGCAGCAGGGTCTTTGTGCGGAGATCCATGCCATTCAACAAGTGATCCAGAAAAGTGAGCAAACAGCGAGGTGACAAATTTGCTTGTTTGCAACCTTGAGTAACTTAGTACTACATGAGGAACAGCTGTGAAAAACTCCACAAGGGTCTTATGAGACTGGCTTGGCCATTAAATGGGCAGGCAAAATTCTCTAGAGTTAACACACAAGATAAGGAGAAAAAGATTTTTAATGCATAGAGCAGTGCGTTTTGAGACAACTATTACCAGTCAGGAGTGGGATCCTGGGGTAATGAAACAGCACTTAGAACAAGAGCGTGTTAGGAATTATGAGGGAAAGGAGAGACAACAGCATTAAACACCAGTGGAAATCTCTGGTTCACCTGCATCTTCCGTATTGTGCGCCCTTTGGTCATGGTCTCCAGAAGGATACAGTAGAACTGGAAAAAACTCAAGAAAGGTGACAAGGACAAACACAGCTCCCTCCCAAGGGATTACTGAACAAGGTAGACCTGCATCTGCTGCCGGGCAAAGCCTGACATGAAAAACTACAGTTCAAAACAAAAGCCAACAAAGAGAAGGACCAGAAAAGAACAAAAACATGGCTTCTCCGAGCATCAGTGTCAGACATTAGTGTCACTGTATGGGAAGCAGGAAGGAATAGTAAAAAGAAACATATAATACAGCTTTGTTTGTGTGAACGATGGGAAAGCCAAAGGAAATAAGCTGCCTCAGGCACAAACGTGTAAGGCCAGAGCAGCAGCAGCAACTGACACACTCAGTTCTGCTTCCCAAAGGATACTGTAGAGTTTTCGGTCCTTGGATTCTGACCGCATGCGGCTCAGCTGCTGCTTATGACAGCGCAGGCTCCAGGGGTTATAGCTGATCTTTTCAGAGCTCAGACCGCTGTTCCCATCCAACATCTGAAATGGAACATCTGAATGGATGTGCAAGTCCACCCTGGGACTCTTCGTTTCCTGGATGCTGCTGGTATAAAGACAGAACAAACTTGCCTGTTAGAATCCATGCATTCTTCAGATACTTACGACTGTCGTACCCTCTCCCTTGCACACAACTATCTCCTGTTCCTTCTCCTGCTGCACACTTTACACCAATACAAACCTTCTTAACAGCAAATCCTCACTAATACCCTGGGCTGTGGACCCACACTCAAGGATCTGGTCTAACATCTCTGCTAGGTTGTACTGTAATTGACAGAGTAAGCAGGAACATTTGTTTCTCAGGGAGCTCCAGCTGGTGTGAGAATAGAGACCTGTATTCAAAGTACCCTTGGAAGAAACCTCTGAGTTAGTAACCAGGTGGACTGAAGAGTGTTTGAATCTGCTCCACGCACTTTGGTTCCGCATCCAACAAACTGCCAAGGGTTATCCTGTGTCAGAAGCACTTCACGTGGATGAGTTCGTCCCGAATGCAGCACAGCTCCTGACACAGTTTGCAGTGCCACAGGGAGCACCCTGTGCAAGTGGCACCAAGTGCAAGACAGCCTGCCGACTGTACGAAGTGCAAAATGCTCTCAACAAAAGGAGCGCCAGAGCTGAAAGGGGAAAAGAGATTTCCTGCTCATCATGTTGTCACTGGGCCCTCAAAGTTTTTACCTTTCAGTGCTGTCACTGGCCAGGCCGGGTTTTTCCTCCTTGTGCTCAGTGCCGCTGCTTGACCTGTGAAGGCTCCGACGCGAGTGCTTGCGTCGTGGCTGGTCCCTCTCTGGCATATCATCCTGCTCCAGAGCCTCGTTCTCCACATAGGGATAGGCCACCAGGTTAATGTAGCCATCGCTGTCTCCCTCAAAACAGACAGATACCACACCTGCCAGAGAGAAGTGACACGTCAGTTCTGTTTCCTAGAGGAGGGAATACACAACCACTAGCACCCAAATGTTCAAGAGGAAAGAGGAAAACGTAGCTCACAGAGCAACAAAGCAAGTCCAGAGCAATGAAAGGAGGTTTAAGACTACAACAACCCAAATGTTGTTAGCACAGCACAGAGGAGAAATCCCCCAAACCGTGCCCTGCATCGCTACCTGAGCAAGCAGTCAGCAGCAGCAGGGGAAGCTCTGCCACCCTCAGGAAATTAAGGACACAAGCACAGTTGGTAGGCTGAGGGGTGTGATTATTTCCTTCCAGTCAGTCTTGCAGCAAATGTCAAACTGGAGAAAGCACAGTCTACCAAGATGTTCAAAGGAGCAATGCATACAAAATATATATCTAGTTCATTTGCGTAAGTATCTATGTCCTGCAGAAGTGCTCCTGCTGTTGACAAGGACATCGCTGGCCAAGGAGGAGTGTGCTTTCTCTGCTAAAGGAGCTCTCCAGCATCTGAGCTCTGAAGCACAGAGCTCTGAGGCTGAGGTGACACCTGCCACTCTTATCACAAGTCAGCCAGTCTCGCAGAAAAGGGATCTGCAAGGTCCCAGGGCTTCCTAGCAATAAAAACAGGGGGCCCTGGAAGTAAAACTACCTCAGCCAGGTGCAGGCAAGCAGAACCATTTGTGTCCTGTCCAGTTTTACCTTCTGAAGGCTCCTGAAAAGCACTGTAGTCCAAGGGAAGGTATAGATCTTTCACAGCACAGACTCTGAATATATCTAGCTGGCCAGCCACAGAGCAGGACAGCTGACACTTCTAGTTAGGGCTGACATCTTCATCTTTGGGACTCCCCCAGCCCTGATAATGAGGCTATCAGCCTATCTCCTAACTTGCAAGGACAAAAATCTTCCATTAGCTTGTCACCAGCATTGAATAGCTGCCAGGAGTATCAGATGCCAGATGCACTGAATCAAGTGATTCCTCGCAAACGTGAGGAAACCTCGCACTGCTCAGTTGATGCAGGCCATCATGTAACTGTCCTTCCTTTTTCCTTATCTGCACATGACAATGCTAACAAGGTTCAGGCAGCTCAACACAACTTCAGCGCAGTTCAGGACTCCCATGTCACTACATTAATGCCACTCCAAGTGTTCTGGCTGCCTGGACATGCTCCTCAAGATACCTCTGTGAAAGGGCAATCTTACAGCATCATCCGAATGCTCAGACAGGAATTATCATCCCCAATATTCCTCTCCCCCAAATCAGTAGGAACAATTTCTGGGACTATCGGGAAACTGCACAGGACTCTCGCCGAAATCCCACACTGGGGTGGAGGTGCATGTCCTATGCCTTTAGGCTACCAGGAAGTATCTGACTTCAGGAAGACAGGTCTCCATCTGGACTATCAGCTTCATCAGTTTTAAACCTATCTCCCAAGGAAAGCCTGACATCGTATCAATTCTAGTAACTACACAGCCTTCAGCTGGGATTTCTGATGGGTCACTAGAGCACCATATGGCCCCAGAGTGGCTTGAGGGTACGAGAGGACCCGTCTGTTGGAGACTGTATCTTTCACTCATGATCTGCACACAGACACAGGTAGGTAAGCTGACACTGCTTCGAGACCTTCAGGCTGCAGCCAGATCAAATGGCAAGACCCTGAACAGACGGTGGTCCCAGCTGTCTGTGAAGCACCATCCTCCCAATGCCACACGGTGACAAAGAAGCAGAGGCAATGGGAACGCTGAGTCCCCCAAAAGGCTACCTGCCAGTGTCACCACCCTGAATACAAATGCGCATGGCTGAAAGTGTATTGAGCTTCTGAAAGATACAGACGAGCTGCCAACCTCCTACAATGATACAGACGCTGGAAAATTCCAGTCCTTCAAAGCGGTTGGGGACAAGGCTTCACCTCAGCGCTGGGAAAGCAATGCTTCCTGCTTCAGCAGCTTTCTGATATGGGTCCATAAAAGAAATGGGATGAGGAAGCAATAAATTACAGGACTGGAATGTGCAAATGCTTAGTATATGATCTAACTTCGTAAGGCCAAGGCTGTAATCGACAATAACTTGGTAGTAAAACTACTTTAGTTACACATCCATAACCTTAAGCTTCAGACTACAACTGTCACATCGCATATGCTCTCTCTAGGAAGAGAAGCACATTAAACTCTGCATGCCTACAAAAAGAGACTTCCTCCTTTGCAAGTGCTCCTATCAAATTGCTAGCCTGCAGAAGAGAATTAAAAACAACAAATAAAATGATGCCAAAAGACAGCAACACATCAGAAGCTGCAGGAAAAGTGAGAGGGCAGGTTCTTGAAGCATGTAACTGCATTCTGGAATGACAGCAGGCCTCACCTTTGTATTCAGGTGTGAACTCCTTCATTTCTGGGGGCAGAGATTCATAGAAGCGCTGTTCTCTGGTAATGAGGGGCTTGCAGACAGTATGGTCGTCGTAGCGCATCATGCTGCTGTGGCCGCCCACCTGGTGAATGAAAGGCTCCAGCAGGACCCCCCGGTCTCCGGATCGAGTGGCATTCTTGCCATACTTGCCCACTTCCATGGTTTGACAAACACACATTGCGTTGGGCACCAGTTGCACTCTTGGAGCATGGGGAGAGCCACATGGGCTGGGAGGGGTAGCTCAGCAGCAGTCAGGCAGCCACAGGGGGGAAATCCTGGCAATCTGCTTCCTTACAATGATCTGAAAAAGCAAAGGAGATTCCTGTGAACGGAGGACCACTTGCATTCACTCCCTGTTGGCTCAGAGAAGTTTTGATATTTATTTATATCCATAACTGTTCCTCTTCTGTTCTCTGTTTACATCCCACTTGTTCCAGCATGCTCCTCACCATCTCTTTAATCCTACAGGTAAACACACACTAATTCAGAGGCAGTCTCATCTAGAGCTTGTCCAGCAGGGTTGACAGGAGATAGGGAAAGGAGGAGATAAGAGTATTTTGAGCCTCCCATCTTTAGAAAATACTATTTCCTTCCTTTAGTTCATTTTATCAGTAAGGCAACGAGATAATGGAGCACAAACCGTGAGCTACAGCACAATTAAAACCAAGCCCACACCTGCCTGTCAATAACAGTGACTGACACAAGCAGAACAAACATTTCAAGAATCTGAATTCCACTCCTTGTGCCCCTGCATTTTTAACATCTAAACAACTGATTCCTGTTCACCTCCTACTCTAACACTGGTTCCTCCTTTACTGACTCGCTTCTCTTCAAGCTATGACATGAAAGACTCTCGGAATAAGACAGTCATTCTGTCGCTGTGCGTATGCTGTAACTGAATGGATTCCACTCAGATTCTCTCCTTTATTACTCTAAGCCCTTCAGGACAACAACTACTTCCTGATGCTTTCACAGCACCTACATGCACAACAGGTTCCTCACCTCCACAGACAGGCAAGAGATTGCTAAATCCAAATGAGATTAGAAGTGCTTTGGAGAAGACAGATGCTCTTTTAATGTCTGCAGAGCACCTGGCACAGCCACAGGATGATGGAAAAGTAAAGCTGTCCAAATTCTCTCCAGATGATTTGCCCTTTCCAGCTTAGATGATAGCCGCTGCTGGGGAAAACACCACAGGATTTCCTCACAACAATGAGTTATCCAAAGTACAAGAACCATATGGTGACTTCAGTTTCTGAATTCACCAATTTCCAGTTTCTTAGCACAGCCACAGCCAAGGGCAATAATTTAAGAACAGAGGGATCTTGGAGGCCTGAACAAGGGACACAGTTCAGGCTGTTCCTCATCTGGCCACGGGATGTCTCTGGCCACAACACTGCCAGGCTGGGGGAAGTTCTGGATGAAGATGGGCTCTTCCCCCTCCCCTCCAATTCAATCATGTAAGAGACACAGCTGAAGAGATTCAAAAGAAGGGGCGATACTTCATAACGTGTTTGACACAAAAGGACGCTCCCTACAACAGGACGCTTCTCTCTCCCTGTCC